CCTTTCTCCCATCAGACCTGTTGGTATTTTATTGTTGATAGTCAACACTCATCTGAAACCAAAATTCTCACAACAACAGGATTGCCCATTACAACTCAGCTTGAAGTATTTAAAATTTACATATACTGAAATATCACTTAATGTTTTAGAAGTATTTTCTAACTCAAATTTAGGAAACACCTCCAACTTCCCTCCTGCCCTCTATTCAAACATTCCTGGAAAAGCCCTTGCATAGCCTGTTTGAGAAATACCTTACAGAGCATGCTTTTTTGGAAACAATAATTTCATTTTCTTTTCCTTGCTCAACATTCAACAGAATATTCAAGCACATTATTCAGCCAATGTTTCTTGAAGGAACAACTAGACCGTGTGGAAAAAAAACCTACCCCAGGAATATTCTCTTGAAATTGTACAGTTCCATTTACCCTTGGTGGCTGTGTTGGATCTACACGCTGTTTTAGAAGATCTATTTCTAAAATCCATATCACTGGAATCATTGTAGACATGTAGAAGAAACAGCTTGGCCAAAAACTGGAAGAAAGAAAATGTGTTCTTGAAAAATTGCATTAGATCATAATTTGCAATTTGCATGCAGTATGTTAAACTCTATACCAGTGCATTACTGCTCAAATCAGCTTTAGACTGATCAATTGTTGAAACAGTCATTTCTAAGGTTCAGAACGTGGACATGGTCTTAACATTTTACAGAAAATGTTGATGTTCATCTTGGTTTTTTAAGCAATAAATGAACAGTCAATCATTTGTCTCATTATGTAAGAGTCAGGCTAACCAATCTTGTATTGATCATAATGTTTCTGCTGCTATTACTGCTAGTCTTTGTCAGCCACAAAATCAAAAGTTTATGTATGGCATAGTTTGTTGTTATTGGTGTGTTTGATAAAGCACAATCATGTTTTTTACATGTATGTATGCTAAATTTTGTATGTATACTTAATGAAATGGAAAGAGAGCTCATTCTTATTTCTGTCATAGTAGGTCTCTGGGAAATTTCTCTTTGCCCTTTACTAGCACTACATTTTTCACTCTCAATGGAAAATGAAATGGGTGTGATCTACGATGTACATAACATGATGAATGTGCTGTTCACTTCTTTACAAGTGTTTGGGTTTATATTTCTTCTTTATTATTTTTTTTCTTACGCTATCATATTTTTTCATTTAACCCTTTGATAATCATTAACTGATGCAGGAAAATGACATCAAGAACGATTCTTACTACACCATATGCCTGTTTTTGAGTTGCATCGGTTATATGGTCTTATTGCAAACAAGTAAGTAGGTAAGAGGTCATTGGCTGTCAAAGGTAAGATTTACGAAGAATTAAAAAAAAAGAGAAAACCTCGGCTCTGTGCTACGACGGTGCGAACGAGTATCAGCGTATCACGAGTCCAATCCAGTTAAGCTGACTTACGTCTTCATGATCGTGGAAAGCTTAAAAGCAGTGTTAAAGTACATACATGTATGTTAAGTTGTCAGATACTATTAATATGTTTCCATTTAGTTTGAATTTTTGAAACACAGCCTTGTGAGATAAATAAAATCCACCAGGAGGCGTTACTTTCAATACTTACTACTTGTATTCTTGTCCTTTGCGAGCAAGTAACGTGTAAACCATTTCGAAGAACAACAGAACAATGCCCAAAATGGTTGCCCAGAACTCAATCTTATTCAAACAGTGTGCTAGAAGCCACACAGACAGAAATCCATGTATAAAGAACAAAACACGGGTTATCACAGCGTAGAAAATAGGTCGAAAGTCCCATAATTTCACAAGCAGCCCTTTTGCCATTTTGGAAATCCTTTCTCCTTGCAATCTAATGATGTAGGTTTCCCAGCGACGGCTATTCTTTGTTATTTTCCTAGTTACGTCGATCTAGTCAAGCATGACTGCGTGACTTTCTAGGTTCTTGAGCCTGTGATTTATTGGTCCGCTGTGACAGGCAAACTATCCATGCCTTAAATGTCATCCGGGAGAGAGTGGAGAAAATTTAAGAGAATACCCTGGCGGACTAGATGACTCTGGCGGGATATTTGTTTTGTGGTATATGGCAATGCAAAGTTTGAGATCAATTCGGACGGGGTGTCTGACATGCTACGAGTGCGTTGTAATATTTGCAGGGAATCCATTCATGATGGCGCAGCGTGTTGCCCATGTACGTCTCATTTTCAACAGTCAGGATGATCTTTGTAAATTATTTACTGATCTGATATACACGATGTCATGTTGTAAAATGTCTGTCTTAAATCTAACAGTAATCTGCTTTTGCTTTTTTCCTTGATATACTCAATGGATCTCCTATACAGGTGGCCATGTTTATCATCTAATATGGTAAGCTTTGCTTATTCAAGAAAATTCTTAATGGAAAAAGATTGTAGAAAACGAATCCGATCTGCTTCTTTTTTTTGCCTAGATCGACAGTAGCGAAGGAGTAGTAATAAATGTATTTTCTTAAAATTCATAGCATAAATCAGTGGCTAAATCAAAGTCGTTCATGCCCAACATGTCGTACCACTGCCTCGAAAGCAGTTGTGCTGTTCTTTGACGGAGCTGACTTGGACAGTTCACAAGTTACAAATGATGTGGACATTCTAAAGGTACAATTTAAAAGGCAAAAATACACCTTGGCTAAGTCTAGATACCACTACGGCCGAGATAACAATGGTTGCAACAGCGTATTTCCTGCCTTACACAGGTGATTGTCATAGCACAAACATCTAAGGCTCTCTTTAAGCGTATGGAACTGGATATTTAAGTTGTGTAGGATAAGATCACAAAAGGACTTAAATGTTTTTATTATATTTTCTTCTGATTTTAAGAGATCATGTTTCCCTTACCAGCAGTAAAATGTTAGCATCCTAGACCTGAAGCAGTAAGCATTGTGATCTGTAGAAGACCACTCAATTTATCACAGTAGGATTAAAAAATGTGTATTGAAAATAGCATGATTGTGACTGAATTAGCACTTTGTTGTAGCAGACAGTCACACTAAAATGGCTTCTGGGTTGGAAAGGGTTCATCAACTCCTGAAGCCAAAGTACTGTATAACAGTGGTATGTCTTAACTCTTGACTTTGCCATGACCAGTAGAAATATCTAGTTCATCAATTCCTGAATCAAAAGTTCTGCATAACAGTGGTATATCTTAACTCTTGACTTTGCTAAGATCAGTAGAAATATGTAGTGCTCAGTAACTTGGGGTACATTGTGTGTTAATGATGCAGGAGTACATGTATTCTGTTGATGCTATGTTAGTGTTACATTTACCATCAGTAATGGTTCCGAAGTGATGAATTTTTTAATTCAGGCATGACACTATTAATGTTAATGTTGAAAATTGTTTTACAGAATACTATAGAAGATCTTAAGTCTTTGTTGAACCAGAAAGGCAAGTCAAATCTGAATCTGTTGTTGGAACCATTTTTTTTGTTGTTTGATACCATCTTGCATACACAAAGAGAAGTTAATGGAATTTTGTTGATATTCTTTAGAGTAATTTGAGAAGTACAGAAAATTTAAAAGAAGGGAAGCTTATGTCACATAAAAATTTAAAAGAAATACACTTGTTTCAAATTATTTTCTGAATATGAATCACTCAAATTAAAGTAAGGTAAAGGAAAGTTGTCTTTCCATCTTGTGTATATAACCAGTGAGTTGCTGGTAGTGCCAAATGGAGATACCAACCACTACCCACCTAAAACCTTTTAGTTGTTATATCTAAGGGGTTCTCTTTTGAAATTTTGGCAGTTTCTATTTACAGACAAGCCTTTGCCAGAAGGGAGGATGTTACAAATGTAAAAATTTGGGGATTCAATAAGGTTGATATGTGGTTGTTTTTAAAGATGATTGAGGGTTATATGAGATGGTAACATGGCTGAAATTATAGGACCTGCCCAAAATGTAGCAGTGTTTATAAACATGAATCTCAGTTTCAAAGGCTTAGGAATAAAGAATAAAACAAGAGGAAAATTGTAAAGGTCTATTTGTAGTTCATGCACAAAATAACTGGTTTTTGTTATATGGCTTTTGTTTAATTATATAATTTTTTAAAGGGAGATGTAATGCTTGACATTTCTCTTAAGTTTGTCCTTAAATTTTTAGTGGTAAAGCTAAATAAATGTATACAATTGCTGTTTCAGTTTCCTTTGAGTTGGGAAAAAAGTTACATCTTTTGTTACTGATTAACAAAACAATCAATTAAAAAGCTGCTTGGAAGCTTGCCATTAAGCTTAAACTTAAGTAAAAACTCTAGTTTCATGCCCTTCAGTACTCACACTGTAAGTGCAAGCCACATTCCCAACATGAGTTAGATTTTTAATGCATTTTTAAAATATTTCAAGAAAGAACTCAGAGAAAGACTTATCTCTTTTGCCATTTTAGTTTCTTAATGATAGGTTCATGTGATGGAAGGAGCATTTCCCATGAAAGCCAATGCAAGATTTGTTGACTTGATCTAAACAGGCCTAAATTAAACTAAACTTAGAGGGTTCTTGTGTTTGAGAGTCAGACATGTTCTCTGATATTCTCAGCTGGGATTACTGGATGTTAATTTAAGGATGGACTGTTTTTTTATTGTTTATAGAAGTTGATCTCAGGAGTTTAAAACATGAACACAAGGTAAACCATCAAGAATAGAGATCTTTTTGGAAACTTTTCCATATTACCTTTTGTAATTTTTTTATTTTGAGTACATGCAAATAATGATAATGAAGATAAGAGGGATCTTTGTAGTAATGAACACTACTAATTAAAAGTAGTGGCGAAAATATGGCCTGAAAAAATTTAGGCTGACACAGGAGTTGAACCCACAACCTCTATGTTTACTTAGTGTTGAGACAAAGGAAGTGATAACAAGGTTAATTTCTACAGTAAACAATCAGCCTATGAGATTCATTTTGTGTATGGTTATTTTACAGAGAGAACTTGCTCAGGAAATATCTACTTTGGAAAAGCAAAAGGGTTAGTAATATATTGTATGAAAAGTCTGTGAAGCTGTGGCAAATATGTAAGTAGACTACTTTATCTTTTTGTTCAGATGTCCAAAATATTTCGCATCTGAGGCACAAATTTATGGTAAAACATTGCTGTTTCCTTTCTTATGCCACTCATGCAAAAAGTGCTTCAGGTGGCCTGGTGAACACAGTGTTAAAGTTGGAAGCATTTCAGAAACCTCTTCCAGTGTAATGGCTTTCTTGATTTACTTTTCAATTGATTTACAATTTTTTCTCAGTCCTATTATGTGAAACTGCAAATTCAAATTTAGTATTTTGGATGCTGTTGTTAATTCTTTTCTGGTTGGTAAAGTTTATCAATCAACAAAAGGAAAATCAGCCTTACAAGTACTCTCTTTTTGAGATTTTCATATATAAATAGAAGGAATTCGAAGTAAGGCAAATAAAAAATGGCTAATGCTTTCTTCCTTGGCTTGAGGTTGGTTGTACAGATGATTTTAAAACAGTACCCTTTGAGTTCTAATATTTTAGTGAAATTTGTTCCTTGCATTCATGGGTTCTGTACATGATTTTTTTTTCCTTTTTTTTTTTTTTTGTCAAAGATTCTGCTTTGGAAGAACTGAGGAAACGGTACGAGAAGAAACTTCAAATGGAAAAATCGACTTCTACTGGACTCAAGGTATCAAGGTTAACCCTTAACTCTCAACATCTCTTTAGTCTTTACTCTCAACTACTCCTGTTAGACAATTTTCTGTAAGGGGCTTTGGATGTATTGTTATTGTGAAGAAACAACATAAGATACACAGTTAAGGCTTAAGAGTAGAAAACATAGTTCTCATATTTCAATAGTTGTTCATTTTCTATAAACATCTAAAAATCCTCTTGTCAAATTTTTCATGATCATGAAACAGAAGCAACTAAGTTATATGAAGGAAAAAGAAAGGGAACTTGCTACTGCACAGAGTGAAGCCACTGAACTAAAAGCTGAGTTTTTAAAATTAAAACGGTAAGTAGAGCATACAGAATCGCTTGTTGATCACATCTTTTATTTGTATTTGTAACACCTTTTCTTGGCTTTGAATGGTCACAGAAATTTCAAAGTAGACATTTGCTAAATTTTTTACCTTTTGCAAGATTCTTATTGAGAAAATTGCTCAGAACTAAATGCACTCAATCAAAGTGGGTTCCCAGAACAGGGTTATTCTTTCTTCTCCTGATTTTAGAGAAGTCCTTGCTACAATATTGAAGAATTGCAGGATTTCCAAAATTATCAGTTATTTGACAACTTTCTTACTGTAGCATGTCCCATACCCATTTCAAAAACATAGGTAAACATTCACCAAAACTGTCTGAACATGTCTTCTGGCTCTTAAGGCAAGCAGAAGAATTTGTTAAGTCATTGAGAGCACAGTTTTTCCAACTTGAAAATTCATCCAGTAACAATCAACAACAAGAACAGTAACAGCTACCACAATAATAATGTTCATGGTTATAGGTATGCAAATGATAGTAATAATCATGGTTAGGTAATAAAAGTGATTATTGTCATAACAATGATGATAATAATGAGGATGGCTATAAATAATGATGATAGTAATGATGATTATTATAATATTAATAACATTATAAGAAAATCAGTATTGTCATCAATGTATTTTTTCTATTGTTTTATTTATTGGTTAATTAAAAAACTTTTTTTTCATTAATTCTTTCTCTAAATGTTCCTTGAGTGCTTTATATGCAACATGCAATAAATAACTCAGCCAATAATATCTAAACCTCAGGCTGGAGGCTTGCATTTTCCAACATTCAATGCTATGACATGTGTTGCTTTCTATAGTATGAGGATATTAATAGATGAACATACAAGTGAAGCTGAAGACATGTTGCAGCAGTTAGATGCTAAATCATTCCCAGAAG